TGGCAGCGGTGTATAGCACTTGGCCTTCACTTAGGGCCTGGGCACCGCTTCCCACATCATGTGTGATCAGCCAATCATAGGCTGATCAATCGCTCTCTCTGAGCGTGGCAGCGCTATATAGCACTTGGCCTTCACTTAGGGCCTGGGCACCGCTGCCCACAACATGTGTGATCAGCCAATCATAGGCTGATCACTCTAGAGAAAAGAAAACAAATAATAAATTAATTTATATTGAGGCGACGACGGGACACCAAAGGCCTTCACTTAGGTTGGTGTGCTGCTAGCGCATGAATTGGTGATCTGCCAAATACAGGCTGATCACGAAATTAATAATAATGTTAATAATGATAATAATAATAATAATAATAGACAGAAGGACTTGGCATGAGTATACTCTTCCTCTCTCTCTCTCTCTCTCTCTCTCTCTCTCTCTCTCTCTTTCTCTCTACACTCATATTCGGATTTGAATGTATCTAATCATGAGCTACATCCAGATGCATCCACCGTAACTATCTCTTCACGCTCAACTCAACGACCAAATGCGCAGTTCTCTCTCTCCTCACACTTCTTTATCCATGTGTCAGCCTAATGCTGCTCACAACCCTTGCTGTCGGGTTCGAGCTTATCACCTCCTCAGGGATGGTCATCGAGGATGTTGCCACTTCAGTGACATCCACGTGTACCAGGGAATTACCACATCAGCAAATGACTAYCGCGTCAGTTTATCTGTGAAGGAGGGGTAGCCACACTGGTTACCATGCTTGTCATGTGCGGTGTTGCCTCGCTCGTAGCGAGTGAACAAGTGTATCACCATGATGAACCTGGATGCATTAGCGGTCTAGTACACCCCCGCTCTCAATACCCAACAGTGAATGAAACAGAGTCAAAAGCTTGACCGGGTTCATCTACAGACACTCAGCCTCTTGCTTGCCTGCTTAGACAGACTCCATTCTCTCCCCCCGTTATGACTCATTCTTCCTTCCCACCTTTCCACACTCATGAGCCCTGAACAGTCTGTGACACCGCCCACGAACGAGGCATTAAAGATAATGATAATAACAATAATAATAAACATATTAATAGTAATAATAATATAAATCCATAGCTGCAGTTTACTTGAAAGGACAGTGAATAGCCTTGCAGACTGTAGACTCCGAGGATTCAGCGTMCTGATCAGCTGATGAAACTCCATAGCTGAAGAATCTGTCATAGCCCCTCGTTTGCTGCCTCTTTCCCCACACCCAGGGGCTGGCAAGAGAAAATATTTAACTAGAAGCAACGGCTAGGTGCCTCTCTTTATCATTGCTTGCTGTTGCGCATCACAGGGAGCCGAGCAAACCGTCCGCAGGCTGAAGTGGTGGTCGCATGACATACCCTTATGATGTCTGAATGTCGTCAGACTTGAAATCGCAACGGTCAGTCTTTGCGCCTTTAAGTCTTCTTCATACGTGCGGAAACCGATCTCCAAAATATGCATCTAATTGAAAGTTATGATAATTAGTGCATCACCGTGTCATAATCAGGCACGAAAACTTCCACCCCAGATTCTCTCAGCTCCTTCCCTCCTTTGTGTGGCAGGTTCCTCTTCTTTACTCTCTCTTTCTCTGTCCCTCTCTACCTCTTTGTCCACATCTCACTCTCTTAGCAGCATGCATCCTCCCATCATGTGATATAACGACACTAGACATTCCCTCCCGTCAGCAAACGAGAACGATGCAGACAAAGGGCAAGTGGCCAAAACAGCCCCTGAGGCCGGCGATGCCATGGCTGCTTGGCAAGCCGCTATTTCTGTCTCCTCCGCGCGCATGTCTGAACTGGGCAACAATGTCAAAACCCCCGTCGCCTTTTCAACAGGCTCGTGGCAGTCCAACAAGTCCTCAAGTGGTACATGCCCGTCTGCCCTTGGCTGCCCACTGCCTAGTAAGTCGTTCCCTTCGCCTGTGGCACGACCTCAATCAGAACTGAGCTTAAAAGTCAAACCTTAGTCCTCCTTGTAACGGCCAAGTGGCCATTTCCCAGGCCGACTGCTGGCTGTTGTGTCCTTCGACATTTGGCAGCAGAGCACACACGTACGCATCAGAACTGATAGACGGGTCCAAACCCTCATCCTCTTGTAATGGTCGAGAGGGTGTCCCCATTGCGTCGACAGTTGACTCGAGCATATGAGGGCGCGGTCGCATGCGTGAATAGCATACTAGCAGTCCAGACACGACGGTAGTAACATAGGCACTGACCCTAGATCCAGTAGACCCGTTGCTGGTGCCGACTCCCGACCGGGTAGTGCCGCAGCGGACACAATTTCTCAATGGGCTATCCCGCTACAGGCCCGTTCATATAGGTGCAGGCTCAATGGAGTGCCGCTTGGTCCAGGTCCAGGCTTGGCCAATATGCACACGATTGCAGCTTAGGGCCGCTTTTGTTGAGTCATTTTTATTTATTTATTTATTCATTTTTTATTTTATTTTTTCATTCGGAGTTGGGCGAACCCTCCAAAAACAAATCAGCGGTAGGCGTCACCAATTCCACTCCAAGTGACTCAGGCTCAATTCTCCTAAGAACCATACCAAGCATACCCTGACTTGCGGCCACGTTTAAATAATAATAATAATTGATAATAATAAAATAAAAGAATGGGATTAGACCCGAGATATTCGAGGAAGACTATCATGACCAAAAGCGTGATTAGCCCTATCCGGTTAGACTGTTTACTTCCATAGAGCGCGTCAGCCCATCAAASCGGTGTGACAAATTGACACACCGCGGAGGGCCTGAATGTCGGGCCCTCCGACACCGCGCTTTACCAGCACATTCTGGCGACGCCTACACGAGGTGTACGGATCCCAGCTCCGCTTCTCATCGTCTTACCACCCTCAGAAGGATGGTCAGACTGAGGTCACCAATAAAACTCTCGGTAATATCCTCCGAAAGTTTGTTAGGGATGACCAGCAGTGGGACTTACACTTAGCCCACGCGGAGATTGCGTACAACCACGCTGTTTCGCCAGCCACGGGGATGTCACCATTCTATTGCGAGCTCGGCTACCACCCTCGCGTACCCGCGGACTTTTCTACGACCATCGTGGTTGTGCCCAGACACTCGTTGTCCTGCGCTAGACGACTGGATCGCCCACATGGCGACGATTATGAAGCGTGCACACGAGAGTCTAGCCGATTCCCAGACTCGCATGGCCGCACGAGCAAACCGATCGCGAATGGATCATCCATTCAAAGACGGTGACGATGTGCTCGTCGACACACGCCACTTACAACTCGAAGTGGATACGCTTCACAAGTTCAGGCATCGTTTCTTCGATCCATGCCGCATCCTTCAGGTCGTCGGTTCGGATACTGCCGCTAGTCCGGTCAACTTTCGTGTGAAGCTACCTGATTACCTTCGACAGGCTCGCGTACACAATGTTTACAACGTCTCCTTACTGCGTCCTTATCGCAGACCGTCCGAATGCTTCGCCGGACGTCCTTATGAGCGCCCTCCACCTATCATGGTGGACGGTCACAAGGAGTTCGTTGTTTCCGACATCGTATCTCGCCGAGTTACCGACGACACCCCTCCACGCATCGAGTACCTTGTGCGTTGGAAGGGCTACCCTGATGAGGAGGCTACTTGGGAGCCCCTCGAGCACTTGGAGTACGCCCGGATGTTGGTGTGTGCATATGATCGTGCTCGTCGTGCTGAGACATCTGCTCCTACTCAACCGATTGACCCTCTTCCTCCTCCGCCGGCTGAGGAGATTGCGAAGGACGAGCCCGCTCCCTCTGAGGCCGTTCTTCAGCAGCAAATGGACGCCTCCGCGCGTCCACAACGCACTCGTCGACGTCCTCGGCGTCTTGACGATTGACACTCTGATCACCTACTATCACCCTACTGACTCCCACCATCAGGTACTCCATCATCAGCTTCTTCAGGATGTCAGCGTTTTGCGGCTCTGCTTCGACATCGACTTCGACTCCTACTTCCTCAACGTCATCGACCACTTCGACGACTTCAGTCACCTTCTCGACTTCAACCATCTTATCGGCTTCAGCTACTTTGGACGTGACTACTTCACGCCACCACCCTACCCTGTACATTCCCTTGCATCTGTTGCATGATGGTTCTCACCTAGTTGGGTCTCTTTGAGTTGGGCTCTCTCTTGGTATCGCATAGGCATTGGGACCGTAGCGTTATCTTGGCTTCCTTGCTCCCAGATCTAGCTCCCTCCTCCCCCAGTCGGTGAGTTGTGTGCATGTTTCCCTCACCCACTGCCCTCATCACCCTAGTGTCGGCCCTTGCATGCCTTCAGTTAGGCATATCTCCAACCTATTCCAGGCTCCCCCTTTTTTTTCATGGTCGAACCTGCATGGTGTCATCCTTTTGTCGAGCATTACCCGCCCTGATGGTCTATCTGTTAGGGTCCTTGGTTTTATTTCGCTACCACTCTCCCACCTTGAGCCTGATGACCTATCCCACCTTCATATGTGACTGCCCTTAGGAGTTTCGATTCTTAGGCTGCATTCACCCCCTCTGAGACCATCTCACTCTTAGTGGTTCAACGACATGACATTATCTTGTGACATATTGCTTCTTTTTCTTTCAGCACTGAGGCAATTGCCTCCAGGACTTTAGGATTGTATATTGCTACATTTCATTTTCCGCAGTTAGCTAGGATGTGTATACCAGACATTTGCGTTTCATTTGACATTATGTAGCTTAGGCTGCATCGCATGGACTCTGCATGGAGTGTGCTCCGCATCCTAGATTTCTCAGCTTTCTTTTTATTGCACAGTTCCACTGCTTTGGATATAGCGTGTTTATGGCTCTTGCGATCCAGTACAGGTCTGAGGATCGTGCAGCGAGCCTCCATCTGCCCTGGCCTACAGCCTGGGCCTATTTGGCTATTTGCCAGTTCGGCCTCTGGGACCAGGCCGTGGCCTGACCCCACAGGCCGTGTGCTGTTCCAGTCCTGCCCGGTACCACTGTCGGTACCAGGCCAGTCCAATCCAATCCAGTCAGTCAGTCCGCTGGGGGTATACCCCAGTTGTTGTCTGTTTTTCGTCATTCATCATTTTTGCACTTGTTGGAGTACGTGCGGTGTCGAGTCTGCGTCGGAGCTGCGCTGTCCCTTCCAACTCCATCTCCACTTCCTCCTTCCTCTACCCCTTCGTCTCCATCTTGTCGGACCGCCATCCCGGCGGGTCCGGCACACCCTATATCCCTCTTGAGTAGTCACTTTGTGTCGACGTCGTGTAGCTCTGGTTCAGACGACGTGTCTAAAGGTGTGCAATCCGGCCCACCCCTGTGCCCCAAGTCTATGCTAAGTCTGCCAGCCCTGCGTCTTCTTTATCCTCGCATGCAACGAGCCTTTTTTTAATCTGGCTGATCAAGAGGCAGTTTAAGGACAGCCCCACGGTCCACATGAATTATTTAATGTCGCAATCAGGACGACGATCACGGCCAGGATCCAACGAGAACCCGCCAGAAATATTTATAGACGGTTTGGTAACCGTCTCTTATGGGGCTGGCATGCCCAACATGACTTCTATTGCGCAGCAAGCAGGACCAAGAAAAGCATGCATGTACTAGTCCCAACGGGTTGGCATGGTGACCGTGACCCGAGTGCTTCGTCCAGGGCCCTTCAGAGGCTTCGCCCGTCTCCCACCAGCTTGCTGCCCAGGAAGAATTTCGACTCTCAAGGTTGAGCGCTCACGACACCTCACATCGAGAGGCTCTCAAGACAAGACTCACTTCCTCACGGTAAGAAGCAAGGAAGAGGGCAGATAAGGTAAGGAGCAACAAGGAGCAACATACCTCATAATGTTGCCCCCAACCACAGATTTCTCACCAGTAACCTGTCGTGCATTTATGATGACCAGTCGATGCCTCGGCACAACCCACAATGCAATGCAGTTCCACTTCGGCTTAAATTGCCACGTCAGCAAGCTCTCATCATCCAGCGTGCACCCCTATGTCACCACATAGCCTTCCAGGCGCGCCCTCCCAACTCAGGGCTGCCTATACTCCAACGCACAAGCATTATCACTGCCCCGCCATTTCCCAACGAAGCACCAAACAGCTATTGCGAAGGAACCAGCGGAGTGGTTCGAACCTGCTCCAATACCAAATTGCAAGGAAAATGAGAGAGAGCGAGATGACAGAATCCAGATAGCACAATCACATTGAAAGCAAGAAAGTCCCACAGTGTCCAGATAAGCACCATTGCACCAATATTACACCAATGGAGAATCGAAACACTGAAAACCAATGTCAATGAGAGCTTTACTCTCGTCCCCACCAACATACGTATCCAGACCCTCTCTCCCTACCCGGCGCTCGGCGCCCAGGCTACTCCCTACACAGCTACTTCATGCCTACAAATTGACAATGCAACTTTTGACGTCAGCAGCCACTGAAATACTTGAAGATGTCGACCAATGCAGACCATCGCCAATACCAGGTATGGACCCTCAAATCATCATCCTCATCTCTTTCACTCTCCCTATCCCTGTCTTCCTCCCACGTCTTATCCCTTATGCACGAAGACCACCACCACCACCACTGGCTGTCCAAGCCAAGCCCTGGCTATGTAGGGCTGGCTATGGCGCTGCCCTCAGCAGCGCCCTGCCTACTTCCAGCGCATGTGCACACTGCCTGGCAACTAGCACTAGTGCACAGCACACAGCCTGCAAGCACACGCTCCAGCAGCACTGCCGTGTGCACTGCCTAGTGCCCGAATGAGCCCACCAGTGGCGAGCTCTTTCCTTTATGGAAAGTGCTCGCCCAGTTTGCTGACTGGCTGGGCCTCATGTGTTTCCAGTAGCTTCTGATCGAGCCAAAGTGTCTGGCACTGTCTGCGCCCAGGCCCATTCAGACAGTGGCCTGGGACCGAATTGGCTAGGCATGCCCAACCACCCAGGAGTAAACGTGAGGTTCTCCCTGCTTCTACTGTGCCGCTGGAAGAGCCCAGAAGGCTCATGAATTGTTTCTGATTCTCATGAGTATGGAGGATGTAACCAACTGGCGCATGGCAACTGTCTGGTGCCCACCAAACTTTGCCAAAATTGACGACCTCAGGCTATATTGAAATTCAGGGGCCTGCCTTCACTTAGGGCGGGCTCATGTTTGCTGATAGGGCCCTACAAGGGCATGCTGAGGAGCCGACTCGTAACAAGGCCTCGTTGAAGATCCAAGCCCACATGGGGGTTACAACAAGCTCTGCTTGGGCCCCTCAGCCTGGTCTCATAGCCCTATAAACAGGCATTGACACATATTCGCAGGCCCGCCTTTAGGGTGGGCACGACACTTCCAAACACTGCCGAGGGACTAAATCCTCGCAATAGTGCCACGTGGCACTTAATCTCGTGAAGACCACGAAGACATAGTAGAGTCCAGTGACGACATCAACCTCAGGTGAGTACCCGACTTCCTTCATCCACAGATCCCGATCTTCCTCCTCGCAACCAGTCACCTAATGTAGACAGCGTGAACAGTGCCACGTCAGCAGTCGAGAGAGGTGGCATATGCCACATCATCAATAAAGACCAGTGGCAGCGCCACATCAGCATGCAATGTGGACCAGAAGTAGCGCCACATCAGCATGCACTGTAGACCAGAAGTACCACATCAGCATGCAATGTAGACCAGAGGTAGCGCCACATCAGCATGCAATGTAGACCAGAGGCAGCACCACATCAACCATGAAGACCAGACACCTTGCCACATCAGCATGCCACGAAGACCAGAGGCAGTGTCACATCAGCATTGGCGCACAGAAGAAGCGCCACGTGCGCTTCTTCTGTGCGCCAATGCTGATGTGGCGCTTCTTCTGTGCGCCAATGCTGATGAGGCACTGCCTCTGGTCTTCATGGCATGCTGATGTGGCGCTGCCTCTCGTCTTCATGGTTGATGTGGCGCTGCCTCTGGTCTACATTGCATGCTGATGTGACGCTACCTCTGGTCTACATTGCATGCTGATGTGGCGCTACTTCTGGTCTACAGTGCATGCTGATGTGGCGCTACTTCTGGTCCACATTGCATGCTGATGTGGCGCTGCCACTGGTCTTCATTGATGATGTGGCATATGCCACCTATCTCGACTGCTGACGTGGCACTGTCCAGTCTACATGAGGTGACTGGTTGCGAGGAGGAGGAAGATCGGGACCTGTGGATGAAGGAAGTCAGGTACTCACCTGAGGTTGACGTTGTCACTTGACTCTGCTACGTCTTCGTGGTCTTCACGAGATTAAGTGCCACGTGGCACTATTGTATGTGATCCGGAATATACTTATTATCATTGTTGACATGGAGAGGGAAGAAGCCCGGAGAAGGAGAGGGAGTTGAAGGGATTATTACTGTGTAATCTTACATCTTCTCCTTTGTCTGTTCCCCCTCCACTCTTTCTTTTGATGGTAATAAGATACTGTTTGAGTTATCACTTCACGATTTGGAGACATTGATGCAGATGATGAGACTACTCAGGATTGACGACTTCTGAGTATCTGCCAGACTGGGCTCATTACAATGTGGTATCAGCGCATACTTCTTCATCGCAATCTACTGTCTGCTGTCAGGTGCTGACGTGGCACCCAGGTAAGTGGGAAGTGCCGCATGTGCGAAACGAAACGCGTTTATTAACGTGCGCGGTAAATACCGCAGGTCTAGACATTGTAGTATTGCACGTGCAAGCAGCTGTCCCTTGAAGATGATGACGTGGGTGCATTGAAGACTCACACTGGCGAGAGCTTCAAAAGCAACAGGCTGATGTGGTGCTGGTACCGCTGATGTGGCACGTGGTGGAATGCAGGGCAGGGTCTGATGTGGCACGTACCTGTGTCATTGTTGCCTGCTGATGCTGCATTTGACATGACATACCAGTGTCGAGTGTGTAGCAGACCTGCATTGCAACGTGGCATCCCTCCTTGAAGACCATTCTGGTCCTTGATGCTGACGTGGCAGTACTGCTGCGTTGGCATGCCAGGGGTGACACGTGGCAACCACACGGGCTGTTGAGAGTGTGAGTGTGTGCACTTGTTGTTGATGATTGCATTGCTTCTGCAGATGGTAGGAAAGAGTCTAACCATTGATTGTGTGGTTGTGTTGGCTCTCTACTTAACTGTTGTTTGTCTGTGGTTGCTGTGTATACTTACAAGTGTGCTGTTATTGAAACGGTATTCACCAATTTGTGGTAGCTGAGACAGATCCCAGGGCTCGATCCCTAGTTTCCCAACTTACCTGTGTACAATACCTGCGTCA